TTGAGACGTCCTCCCGACGTGAAAGGCGCTATACAAATGTAATCTTGTTGTTGTTGTTGTTGTTGATCTCAGTTTAGTTAGATACCAAACATATTGTTCTTCTGTCATAGTTCTAAATTATTTATCAATTCTAACTTTGTTCAGTACTTAGATGCTGTACCAATGGGAGGCTGTTGTAACATCTCTAACCTGGACAGTGTACAAGAAAAAGACTTGTCTGTTATTCCCTTATCTCTGCACTCATCACCTCTCTCTCTTGTCGAACTCATCCCCTTCCCTCCGAAGAGCTTACAAGTTCGATATTAAACAACAGATATATTTCGAAACGTAGAGCATTAGAATCAAGGTTTTATTACAAATGGTGTTGGTGATCAAGCTATACAAATTATAAGGGTCAGGTCAAGATTCTATGACTGTTCTGCTCCCTTCAGACTTCCCTCTTGACTGGTCTGCTCTCACATTCTAAGACTGTCCTGCTCTCCTCAGGTCTCTCTCTCTGCTCCTGTATCGTCCATTCATCTCCTACATTCTCCCAAAAACTTCCATATCCTCAGACTGTTCTGCTCCCCATCAGCTTCCTTCAGCTTCTATATCTCCCAACGATTACTGGCAAAACCTCTTCATTGTCAACCTCGACAGAATGTCTGTCAGACATCCAAGTCCTGGATGAGAGCTAACTTTCTTCCGTTGAATGGCAACAAGACCGAGGCTCTCCAGATTGGCACACTCCACCTTACTAAGCCAGTCCAAAACCCTGGCGTTTCGTTTGACCCTCACCTGTCCTTTCTATTCCATATTCGTGCCATGATCCGCTCTGCCTTCTCCCCACCTCCACAACATCGCCCGTCTCACATCTCACTGTCTCATATCGCAGGCCACCTCATAATGCATTCATAACATCCAGGCTTGACTATGCAAGCTCCTTGCTTTTCGGCTCTCCAACTCCTCCCTTCAGATACGGATCATCCAGAACTCTGCAGCCTGTGTCCTGTCCCGCACCAGGATCCGTGACCCTATCACCCCCATCCTTGCCCAACTCCACTTGCTTCCCATCGCACAGAGGATACAGTTCAAGATCCTGGTCCTTGCCTTCAAAGCCCTCCATGACCTTGCTCCTCCCTACCTCTTCGACCTCCTAACCCCCACCAACCAGCCCGCTCCTTCCGACCTGCTTCACGCCCCCCCCCCCGCCCCCCCCCCCCCCCCCCCCCCCCCCACTGTTGGCGGTCTGGCCTTCAGTCACTCTGACCCCACCCTCTGGAACTCCATCTTGCAGTTGCAGTCCCTCCACCTTGCCCCCTCCCTTGCCTCCTTGAAGACCCATCTCAAAACCCTCCTCTTTGATCCATGCCTTAGATCACCCTCCTTCCCCTCCTGTTCTACACCCTCCCTGATTCTGACTTCCAGCTCATTGTCCAGCCCCTTGGGACGTCTTCCCGATGTGAAAGGTGCTATACAAATGTAATTTTGTTGTAATTGTTGTTGTTCCTTATCTTTCTCCTTGGGCTTCCATAACTAAGTCTCTCTACTATCTCTTTCACACAGTCATCTGGATGCCTTGTATGAATGTTATGGTCAACAAGCATGGGCTTTCCTCTCTGTCTACTATAGTAACTGTTGCAGTGCTGATACACCTGACATATCTCTCTCTCTCTCTGTTTTTCAACTTATTCAAACTATCATATCAATGCTACTATGGGCATTGTTTCTCTAAATTTTTTCTTGTTCCTTGTAAACTTGTATGCTGTTTTGACAATCTCTCTTCTCCCTGCAACCTCACTACATTGGCTCATCACACCATCTTCTTTACATCATTCTATCTCAGGACCATATCTCTCCGCTTTTCTCTCACAATGTATATATACAATACAATACAAATTACATTTGTATAGCGCCTTTCACATCGGAAGGATGTCGGGACAGACAAATGTTTAAAATCCAAGCTTGGTTTTGCTCGATACTACATATTGATTTATCTTTGTCTCACTTGTTTCAATTTTAGCTGTCCTCTGCACTCTGGTATGTGTCAGCCTGGCAAGTGGTAGCAGTCTAGCCTCTGAGTCAGAAAGTTGTTTGTTCAAACCCCAAATTGGGGTTTAGATTCACATAGTCTAATCTGACATTCCAATGAAATGCTGGGGGTATGCTGCATTGCCAAGGTACCATCCTTTGGATGAAACATTAAACCGAGGTCCCGTCTGTTTAGGTAAAGTTAACTATAATATGGCACTATTCATAAGAAATTGAAGTTTCTCCCGGTGTCCTGACCAACAAGTCCCCAAAATAAAATTAGTCATTCACTCCATGATTGTTTCTGGGACATTGCTGTGTGCAAATTGGCTGCCGGGTTCACCCACAAAATACAAGGTCAATACACTTTACCTTTGAAGCACATTGAAACATCTCGTCGACATGATAATCTTTGTCACAACCCTGTGACAGGACACATCAAATGCAAGGATTATTATTATTATTGGCACTTTGCCTAAGATTCTAAATCATTTTAAAGAAAGAACAGAATAAAACCTGTCCTCAACATTTTCATGCTGTGCAGCAAACCTGTGATCGTGTCCGGGCTGTTGAGCTTGTTTTGAGGCATTTTATCATATTTGTGACCATCTGTATAGAACTGGAGCAGTAAGTGCACACGTGTTTAAATAATTTACCTTGATTCACGGAGCTAAAATGTACCTCTAGCTCTGTGACTCACTAATGGTAAAGACCCTCATTCGGCACTGAGCTGGTTCTATCAGTTATATCTGACAAGAGGAGGAGATAGAAGAGCTAACAGTCCTTACAGCTGCATAACTATTGCATTGCTGGTGTGAAAATATGATAAAAGCATTCCACATTCCCAGACTACATATGCACTGTGTATCTGCAGGATGCTTTTGTGTGGAAGAGTGGAGGTGAAATTAGCTGGGATTCACACGCACAAGGGTCACTATATGTTATGAGCTATATATCAATGCCATGAAATATTCTTAATGTTTCTCATCCTCCTGTGTATCATCCGTTTGTAACTTCTACAAGGAATTTCTTGAATGGCAATAAATGATCAACATTACTGGCTCAGGAACTGGACTACCAAGATCCCCACAGAAGATGGGCTTCATTCTGATATTCCTTTGAATAGATTATTACATTGGAGCCAGCTCAGCCTCAAGAAGATTAGGCTTACTTCTTATCCCCCCTCCCCCCTAGCAGGATAGTCACTAGTTGGTCTTGTTATTATCAATTCCCGAGATGCTATCCTGTGTGAAGAGTGGTTTATAAATGCGAGAATTTTTGTTGTTATAGTTGTTGTTACTCACAGACTTCATCATAGCAAATTGCCCAGACAGAAAGATACGAGGGCACAGACTCAGGGTTGTGAACAGTATTTTTACGACAGGCAATAGAAAGTATTTCTGGGCTCAATAACTGGGCCAGATAAGCAGGAAGACTGGTAAAGGTCAGGACTCTCGTCTCATTTAAGAAGTAGTTTGACACTGTGATGGGATGACAGTGAGGCTAGTATTCTAAAAGAATGAGATCAAATGAGCAGGAGGGCCTTCTTCATCTGAACCTCTCTTGTAAGTGGTCTATTACTGTGCATACTTAGTGGCAGGATTATTTTCCTTGTATTTCTAGATTAGTAAGCATTTCAACTGAAGGACACTAAATAAACACAAGTTGTTGTCATAGTAGTACTGAGGTATTGGGCAATAACTCTAAGCATTGCCACAATGGGTACTACCATGATGTCAATAAATATTCAAACATGGTGTTTTAAATTTGTGGGGAAATGATGCCTCACAAATTAGCAAAAAGTAAACTGTTTCTGAAAATTCTCCTAAATTACAGTATCACTTCTGCATTGATGGGCTGAATCATTTTACTTGGCTGATACACCCTCCTTGTTATTCCATTCTGTCACTGTGATATAGCAGCCAGTAACAGCACACATGTGCTCTCAAGCAGGATACTCCTCACTACTATTTACTTCTGTCACTCATAGGCGACCGGTGAAAATATTCATGGGGGGAGGGGGATTGAGTAAAACTCAGTTAAAGAATCTGTCCCCTTTAAGATAGGTGAGCTGTTGGCTTGACTGATACATCCATCGGGAAATCAGAGGTGAGGATGCCCTAACAAAGAGCTCTCCAGACGGGAAGTGAATGGGCGACAAATTGGAAGAGGGGGCCGTGGGTTGGGGCTGCTCAGAAGAATTGCTTTGTTTCTCCTCAGGGCTTTCCCCTCCCAGCTCCCTTTAAAGAGGTGGCTGTAGATAGACGTTTTTTTGGGGTGGGGACTGAGCCCCTCTAGCCCTAACCACCTGCCACCTATGCTCTCACTGTGAAATGATCATTTAAAAAAAATCCCTTTGTTAAACTCATTGGCTACAGACCAGAATCTAGAGTTAAGTGAACACTTTTCAACACATGCTCATTTGTTCTTAGGCTTTAACTAAATGAAATTAGTAATTTTTCTATCTGTTTCACTAAACATGTTTTGTTCAGTAAACATGTCTTACTGCAATCAGGAGTCTGAGGGGGTAGGACTGCTGAGAACAATGCCGAACACAGATGATTCATCTGTCTCTGCTGTCTCCCATCATTTCACCCTGTAAACATTGACTGAATGTTCACTGAAAGTGTTGACCACAGTAGTATTGGTCCAAAAAAGGTTTTTGCACTTTGCTTTCCAATAAATGTGTCAAAGTTCAGACTTGCTTCAGTCTTTATTCATTATTTATGATTTTGGGTGATGATTTTAATCTCTGCGACTGTTTGCCTTTCAGCTCGTATTTACTCCCATTGAAATCTGACAGCTACAGTGTCAAATTTTGGAATTTCATTTTGCTTATTCATTTTCAGTTCAATGTGTTTTATAAACAATTAATTTAAAAGTGATTTGTGTGTAACTTGTGCGTACCAACGTCATTTAAATGTAATTGTTGTAATTTGTGCCATGAACCCAATACTGAGTAATCTCATTAACCTTTTCCCAGGATTTGATGTGCTTGCAGTTAGTGAGTCATTATGCTGCTGCATCTGTGTAGTGTTAAGGTTAGTGNTTTTTTCCTGCTTTTCTCATATTCATTACCATCCATTACTCATTTACTCTCATTGACAATGGAATGTATCTTTGACAATGAAATGCATCCCAATATAGTGTCAGTTAAGACATGTCTAATAATTTCTTTGAGGGCGTACACCTTTATTTCATTTCAGGATGCCCGTGTCACAGGTAGGTAGGCATGTGCAAGAAAATATATTTTAAAATTGTATGACTTTATGCAACCCTAAGAAAATATGTAAAACAGTTGAATGATTTGCATGTTCACAGCATACATTTAATAAAAAGGAATTTAATTCATAAGTTGATGTAGATAATACAACAAGGCAGAAGGGCACCAGAAAACTGCTCAAAAATCAAAGGAACTCCGTGAACCATGAAGGCCAAGGTTAGGCTTACAGAAAGACAAATTTAAATCCCTTATGCTCTTCAAAACCCAACCCATGATTCTGAGCTCAGTAGTAAAGCTACTTTTAAAATGGCAAACTGAGCTTCTCACAGAATAGTTTTAAGCTTCAGCTATCACTTTGATCTGAACAAGCTATAAAAGAAATCTCCCTGGAATGTATAACTTGATTTCCCATCCAAACGACATAACACTTAACATAATGCAATTACTGAACACACATTGTACAATCTGAGGCATTATTATGGGAGATAAATTAGGAAGTTCCTGATTAAAAAGAGTCTAAAGGACCCTATTTTATTGCTGAGGCAGAAGGGAATACAATATTCTATCAGGTACACTGGCCTAGAAAAAAGACAGATTAGAGTGGGCAGGTTGAACGAAAATGGCTTTATGATTCCCATTCCACAAATGCTTTTCAGAAATATTTATTTCAATTCATATCACAGATATTGGTAAAATGTTCAAACTATATATTGTGTCAAAACAAGTAAGGCATATGTACCCTTGAACTGTGTCTTGAGCTTTCATCAACTATCATTTCCATTTTTCTTACTTGATTCCATCCCTGTATATGTTCATCACAAACTAATATTCCATGGCTCAAAGAGTAAATATGTTTGACCTTCACTTAATCTAATGTTGATTGAATCCATGGTATATTACCAATGATATTTTGTTGACAACATTTGCTATGTTATCTATTGAAATGCCAAGTAGGAATGGAACACATAAAACAGATTAAGTCACAGAGAATTCCTACTGCAACAGTGGAAAAGGGTCAGTTACAAGTGATTCAATCCTAGAGATGTGCTTTTTCAGATCTATCATCAAGTCCGGCAGTCATGTCTTTACTGCTAAATCACATGTGGCACTATTACAGCAACAGAATGCTTCAGGAGATCTAAGAAAGGCAGGCAGTCTCAACAAGACTTTTCTCAATATATACCAACATGTTTTTTTCACATGCCTTCAGATTGATTCTAATCCTTTCATAGCAGTTACACTGCAGAACTCATTGAATTGATGAGATCACTGAAGTCAAGATATTGACTGTGCTTTTGGTCATCATTTCCCTCCCCACCCCCTTCGCTCCCACCCCCAGCTCAGGTACTCAGCCATTAGTGTCAGCTGCTTTGAAACACACTCCCGATGTGAAAGGCACTAGATCAATGTAAATTTAAATAACTTAAATAAATGTGTTGATCATGATTAATATAAAAAAAAGTCAAATTTTGATACTTGAGACCGGAAGCTGGTTTTACGTTCCAAGATAACATTTGACTCTTCTCTGTAGGTATTCACAATTCTATGCATAATAATTCAAGGGCAAATAATTCATATTTAACTTCATGAAAATGGCTGTAGATTATCATAACAACTTGCTAATCAAATGCATGTTAATAAATAGATGTATTGAAGAAGTGAAGGTTGGAACTAGGACAGATAAATCAAACAAAATGAGCTTAAATAGTACAATAAGGAGATGGAATAGAGAGTTCAGTGTAGCAGAAACATTGCCTCACACATGAAATGCAGGAGAAAATGTTGAGAAGGTATTACCTGTGAAAAAAGCAAATCTAAATGTTTAGCCGATTACAAATGAAAAATGTAACCAGTAGAATGGGAATTTACACCCAGGCTATAATAGCATAACACAGATCTGAATACAAATTACTATATGAATAAGCAAAGGGTTGATGTTTGGGAATGTTATGATGAACTAATCATAATAAAGAGGAAAACATATCAGGAGTAAAGACTGTAAATGACATTAACTTATTACTATAATTAGTTCACAGCAATTATTCAGAATATTTTTTTTTACTTCCCTGAGGGTAGACTCATATGCCAGAAGCAACATCCATCAAACTCAATAGAACATTACACATTCCCAGATAAATCATTCCTTGTTTATCAGCTACTCACTAAGCAAGCTTAATAGTTTGTTACAATTAGGATAAAATCCCACCTGGATCTAGATTTACTCTATTAACAACAATAACAAAAATATATTTGTGCGTCTTTCACATCGGGAGGATGTCCCAAGTCGCTGGACAATCAGTGTTTCGGACCTGAACTGGGGTTCAGGATTGGGGCGGATGGAGGGTAGTGGGGAAGGAGGGTAATTGAGGGTTGAAGAGGAGGGTCTTGAGACAGATCTTGAAGGAGGCAAGGGAGGGGGCGAGGCGGAGAGACTGTGGGATGGAGTACCAGGGGTTGGGGGCAGAGTAGCTGAAGGCCCACCCGCCAATGGAGGGGCAGGCGAGGCGGGGGAACCTGAAGCAAGCCGGATCCTGTTGAGCGGAGAGAGCGCTCAGGTTGGTAGGGCGATAGAAGGTCACAGAGGTAGGGTCACAGAGGTAGCAAGGTGGTGGAGGGCTTTTAAGGTGAGGACCAGGATCTTGACCTGTATCCTCTGTGTGATGCCTTGTGTGAATGTATGACTCTGCAAATGCCCTGCTTGTCGGCCTTCCCAACTCCTCCCTCCACTGGCTGCAGATAATCCAGAACTCTGCAGCCCATGTCCTCTCCCGCACTAAACTCCGTGACCCCATCTCCCCCATTCTCGCCCGACCTCACTGGCTCCCTATCCTTCAGAGGATCCAATTCAAGATCCTGGTCCTCACCTACAAAGCCTTCCATGGCCTCGCCCCATCCTACCTCTTCGATCTCCTAACCCCCTACCAACCCGCCCGTTCCCTCCGCTCAGCCGGCTCTGGCCTGCTCCACGTCCCCCAACCTGCCTGCCCCACCATTGGCGGGAGAGCCTCAGCCACTCTGCCCCCAACCTCTGGAACTCCATCTCCCAATCACTCTGCCTTGCCCCCTCCTTAGCCTCCTTGAAGTCTCGCCTCAAAACCCTCCTCTTCGACCATGCCATCAGTCATCTCCCTTCTCCTCCTCTCTCCCTCCCTGACCCCAGCTCGAGTTAGAAATGCTGTACTCTGACGTCAAAGGTGCTATACAATGTAATCTTGTTGTTGTTGTTGTGAATGGAAGCCAGTGGAGTCGGGTGAGGATGGGGGTGATAGGGTCACGGGGCTTGGTGCAGGAAAAGACATGGGCTGCAGATTTCTGGATGATCTGCAACCTATGGAGGGAGGAGTTGGGGAGGCCGACAAGCAAGGAGTTTACATAGACAAGCCTCGACGTAATGAATATGTGTATGAGAGTTTCAGCGACCTGTGATGTGAGACAGTGGTGGAGCCGGGCGATGTTGCGCAGATGGGGTAAGGTGGAGCGGGTCATAGCACAGATGTTGGGTAGAAAGGATAGTTGAGGGTCAAACAAGATGCCAAGGTTCCAGAACAGCTCCTTGGATCATCCAAAACAACAGTAACTCTCATTTATATAGTGCCCCTCACACAGGGTAGAATCCCAGAACGCTTGAAAAACATTTTTCAGAGCGTTTCAGAATTTGGCAAATTGTTGCATTCAGTTTTAACTTAGCCCATTTTCTGTAGTTCTTAAAAGAACTTTCAAAAAAACTGCTACAAAAGTAAAGATTTTTTAAAGAATTTAACAAATTTTGGATGGCCTGAAGTGCTGATCCAGGTAGAATTTCTATCCAGTAATTTCCAGACACAAGTTCATAAATAATAATAATAATAAAATAATAATAATCGTTGCATTTGATATAGCGCCTTCAAGACATCTCAAAGTGCAACCGACTCTAAAATTGTTCATCTTTTTAGGCTTAAGAATGTTGTCTTAAAATTTAAGATTCATGTAAAATTTTGGGAAACGATCATAAATTGAGTTCTAATTTCGAAGCTGGCATTTTACAAGACCTAAAAAGAAATCGGAAAAATTGGCTTTTTATTTCTTTTTTGCGTGCAGCGCTTTGTTACCAGGTGGAAAGCTTTTTTATTTGCATGCGTTTCAAACTCGTGCTAAGGTTAGTGAAACGGTGAACCATTCTGGAACCACAATTGTAAGACCTTTTTTTATGAAGGAACCCTTCCTGCCTTTACACTCAACTTTGTTCAGAAGTACCACTTCGATCGTTAAATATATTATGACTCTTTCCATTAGACTGCAGCTATTGCTCGTAAAGTGAACTAGAAACAGATCTCCCCCCACACACATACTTCAGACAAATATAGCTGTTTTTTTTCTAATTATCATTGAGACCTCATACATTTCTAAGGTTTCCTTACCAGATTGATTAATCAAAATGCCATTAATATGATAATTTACTGTAATCTCTAGTTCCTCAAAATAGAAAAACACCCCTTCCAGGACTCAGCTTGACTCTGGCGAAAGGAAATACAATCTTGCTTATTCTATTCTTTAATGTTATTGTAAACCACAGCAATTTTTCTTTCCAAAGTGTACCATTGGATTTGATGGGTAACCATGACAAGGTTTACATTCAGTGTAAAATTAGCCATTTCGTTTACATGATTATATCCACTTCACAAATATCTGGCTGATTTTAAAGCATTTATATTTAGAAATGATGAATCTTGATTGGAATCATTGGAATCTTCATTGGAATCTTGATAAAATATTTTCATCTTTGAAAGACTTTTGTAATCCGCCAAATTCTGTGTATGAGCACGAATATTTCAAGAAAATTTTGGCTTCATCAGGACAACTACAAACTAATGCATTTCCTTCACTAGAGTGCATCTCCTTCACACGTGCCAGTGTTTATGCTCCATCATGAGAGCGTTCACCTCTCCTATTCCTCTCTCATATAGCTCTCTATTCCCTTCTCCCTCATCATCATCATCATCATCATCATGTTTTCTCTTAAATACATGGTTCTATTTGCTTCAAACACAGCTTCCAGCAGTGACTTCCACATTCTCACCACCCTCTGCATGAAGAAGTTGCTCTTAACCTCTATTAGATCTTCTGCTAGCTATATGGTGATTGTAATAGATTCTTAAACAGTTTGAAACTGCTTGAAAGCCCCTGACCTTCCTTACATAGCAACAGTTCTAGGCAAGAGTAGACCATTGGACTATCTAGCCTAGCTTCTCAAAAGATTCCTGTGACACAGCTATCTTGCGACCTTGCATCTCTCTGAGCTTCAGAGAGTGTAAAATGTATTGGGGTTGGCCATCTTACCATTGCAGACTTTATGCTCCTTTCTGCAATATTGGGGTCTAAACGTGACTCTTTTAGACAATTAAGGTAATCTGGTAATCCCATGCTAACTCCAGGGGTCTGATTGTAAAGATCTCATGAGAGAGATTTTCCAGGATATACTGTTTGATATACTGTACTTCAATATTCTTGAATAAAGATCTCTGTTTGAAATTGGTGACCTTTAGACCCCATTATCTGGGCAGCTAAACAGGGTATAGACTGATTGCTTTTAGGGTTTCATTTGATTCTATGTTTACTTTACATAAGCCTTTTGGCTTCAAGATTTTTAAGCTATAATATTTTGTAATGATATTTACGACAAATGTAAGACATTACAGCAATTTGATAGTAGTTTTAAAACTTGAAACATGCACCACAGAATTCTTACGCTACTTTAAAGTAATTCATCTGCTAATTGTCAGTTTAACCATGTTCAGAAATAATGCCTCTTCTTATTTTCCTGGAGTACTTTTGTTTTTTTCCTCTTAGCCTAATTACTCTAATCCTGGATCAAATATTTATTCTTCTTTTCATTTTACTAGAGTTATTACTTTACTATTTTGGGATAATGTTTAAAGGGAAACTTTTTTTTCTTCATTTGTGTCAGCCTGGCTCAATAAGTAGCACTGTCACCAATGTGTCAGAAGGTTGTTGGTTCAAGCCCCACTATGGGACTTGAAACTCATAATAATAATAATAATACGCCTTGCCTTATCATGTTGTTGATATAGTGCTTTATCATGGTCTCTGCTAACTTATCTGATCTCAGCTCAGTCATTGCTGAGGTTGCTGCAGTTGGCCCCTGGTGTAGGGTTTCTATCGCTGTCTTGCTTCTCACATCTGTGCTAACATTCATAATTCCTGCTTCTAACATCCACGCTATTTTCAAAGAAACAGAAGAGATTTTCACCATCTCAGCAACAGTGGTAGAGACCTCTTGAAAAACACCAACATTCAAACTTCTTGGAGCTTTCTTACGACTCAATCTATGCCAACTCCCTTACAACAGATTAAACCTGGCATAATGGATGGTAGCAAATGCTAACTGAAGGCCATTTAATTCAAAATCACCTGAGTTGCCAAACCACCACCTAAGAGGATTCCCTGACATGTCTGGGGGTATCGAAGGCCACTTTACTCATTAAAAATTAAGAGTCCTGCAGAAATGGTGATTTGTGAACAAAGATATATAATGAGCTGTGCAGCTCTTTGCAGAGGGACTTCCCAAACAGCCTAGTTCTTACTGACATTGATGTTCAATCAAGGCTGATTTTAATTGTTTTTTTGTGCATGGCTCCAGGCACAGCATTATCTATCGGAACGAAGATGATGTGTTCCTATGTGAATTGGCAGTATGCAAGTTTGCGACCCCACATGCTGGAAAATAGGAAAATAATTTTATAAAAGCAGAACAACTGTAGTTTGCCTGCACATCCTTTCAACTGGAATTTCAGCCCAATAGTATATTGGGGTTTGTAATAGATTCGATATTATATATTTACAATGAATTTCAGTCATTATAAATATACAATAATTGATAAAGCATTCCTTAACTTATTCAGGAAATGCTTTAGGGAATATTAACAGCAGGAGACTCTGTGCAGGTAAATTTCTTCCAGGGTGACGGCACTGCCATGGTTATATGATGCGGAGGAGAGCTCTGGTATTTTGTAAATTTTAGGAGCTTAAGTTTAGGGCTTTTTTATTTGTTTAATATTCTTTTGTTTTCCTAGGGGTTGTAGGAATACTGAAATCCTCATTGTTCTAGGCCAAAAGATTAACTCACCTCAGGGTCACACAAAATGATAGCACTATATCCCTGAGAGTAACAGACTTAGAGAGGAGTGCCACCTACTGGTAACGTTAAAGTATTCCTTAAATACGTTAAGGAATGCTTTAAAGAAGACTGCAGATTTTACCTCAATATCAGTTTACAAGCAGTACCGAAAGAACAGTGAAATACAAAGAAAGGCAGTGTTCGAAATGAGGAGGGAGTTTCTCCTGGTGCCACCCGATAGAATCATTCATTGCATGGCTGTTTGTGAGACATTATTATGCATAAATTTTCTGTCTATAAATGCCATGTTTGCCTATAAAATACAAGGTCACTACAATTTACAGTAAGCCCTATGAAGTGCTTTGTGATGCCCTCCTGATGTGAAAAACACTCATTTTATTATTTTGCTGGTTTTTGGTAGGAACTACGTAAAAATGGCTTCAAAGTTGAAACTGACCTAAATTGCTAGGAAATAGACTAGATCTAAATCCAGGTGGAATTTTATCCCCTTGATGTAATAACGATCATTGGTTAATATCATGTTGAATATAACCACATTCTTACCACACAGTGAATTATATGGTAAAGTAAATTTCTCTCAAATGGGGTCTCTGATCTTTCTGCTGCCTTCATATTATGAGATCACATGCTATTTTTAGCGATCAGTATAAATAGACCCCAAAGGAATAGCGTGTGGTAGGGCATGTTGAAAGGTCTTCGTGAATACACTTCAAATTGCTTTCCAACAAGGGCTGAGTTTTTATTAAAAATGCAAAAGATTAGGGATACATCTGCTTTCATCCTTTATTGTAAACACAGTGTTTGAAAGATTTATTTACCGTAACATACAGGGTATATATTTTTTAATTTTAATAAGTGCTTTCAAAGGGAAACAAAGCTAAAACATCTTCGCTGTTTTAATTTATTTTATGGCCTGTGCATTCTTGTACATTTTAAAATGAAGTTTCTTGCTTAAACAGAGAGAGCGCGAGGGTACTATAACAATAATCCTTGCATTTGATATAGCGCTTTTCATGTCTTTTAGACGTCTCAAAGTGCTTCTCAGAACATTCATTAAAGTGAATTGACTGTAATTCTGTGGGCGAAAAATAAACAAGAGGGTGCTGATTTTGGAGAGGATATTTAATTATTTTTCATTGAGAATCTTGGATGAAGGGTTAAGACCCATACACAGGACACCGACAGCTTTAAAAAGATTAGAATTGAAAGCATAAATAAAGAAAACGTGTTCAGGTGATGCCAAGCTTGAGTTTTAAAAAAAGTTCAATTTTTTAAATAAAGTGTTTTGATGAAAGTATAGATGATCATGCTATCATCATTCATGCATTTGTAAACCAACAATGTTATTGTTAAACATGTCAACTTGGGACCTGCACTGAAATCTACTTGTGTTATTTCAGAATTTGTACCAGAATAGGTTTCTGGGTTTGGCAGCCATGGCATCACCTTCCAGAAACTCTCAGACCCGGCGTCGATGTAAAGATACTCTCAGGTACAGCTACAACCCTGAGCAGTTCCATAACATGGACTTGAGGAATGGTCTGAGTGAGATTACCATCCCGAGGGCGAACAGTGATACAAACCTGGTGAATTCAGACAGCCGGTCAACACTGACTGTCAGCAGCTCCCGCTACAATGTCGGCCAGTCACACGACCTCATCATTTGCTGGGATATCAAGGAGGAGGTAGATGCAGGAGACTGGATTGGAATGTATCTTGTAGGTAGGTGTTTGTTTTCAGTTTTTACTTGCTTGCCATTAATAAACATTTGGCACTTTGGTCTCCCTCCCACCGCTCTGCCTTCCTACACCACCCCTCCCCCATGCTCAGGCCCCAACACTTGATTGTTCAGCGCTTTGGGACGTCCTCCCGACGTGAAAGGTGCTCTATAAATGTAATTTTGTTGTTGTTGTTGATGTGATTTTCATCACAGCAATAGATAAAGGTGTATCTTTGAAGTCGATCTCAAACATTCACAAATAGTATGCATTTTTATTTTTTTTTAATTAATTTATTCTGTTTTTCCAAAATACTTGTAACACATTTGATAAACCAGTTCGATAGCGATCCTCCATGTAAATTATGTTACTTATAAACATTAACAATATTCCTTCATTTTAATAAAATTGAGCTCTTTGTAAGTCTTCTATGTGCTGCATTTGTTTTCCTTTTTTAACATATCCTAAAGTAAGGTTTCCACCCACTTCTTGATTGTCTTTCAGTGAAATAGACAACTAATTCTTTGCAGTTTAGGGCAGTTTAGACTTGTGATGTAGGAGTGGGTGTAAAACATGCTCCACGGAAACATTTTGGTTTGTTTATATGCAAAACATAAAAGTGGCAGCTTGGCTCGGTTGGTAGCACAGTTGCCTCTGGATCTGAAAGTTGTGAATTCATGGGACATGAGCTTGTAGTTTAGATTGATGTATTGCAGTTCCTCTTTTCAGGTGGATTTTAAAGGTCCGAACCTGATACAGTCAAAACTGTCTTCAACAACCTCTCAGGCCTGTATATAAGGATAGCTCCTGAGTAAGGGTTTGTTGGCATGTGAAGGCACACTGAAGGGACTGTTCCAGGGTGGTTGTTAACAGTTGTTGTATGGAGGTGGTTCCTTGAACAGGTTTGACTATATTTAAAAAGAAAAATAAGCTTCTCCCAATCTTCGTCTAGTATTTTTGGTTAACAACACGCCAGGTTAATTGGCCCTTCATTCTCCCCCTGGCTGTCTGTGGGTCCCTGCTGTCACAAATGGCTACCGCTTTTGCCAATAAAAACAGCCACTGCACTTGACAGTATTTACCTGTCAAGTTTTCATTCTTTCTTTCTCTCTTTCTTGCTTACTTAAACTCTTTCTTTCTTTCTTTCTTTCTTTCTTTCTTTCTTTCTTTCTTTCTTTCTTTCTTTCTTTCTTTCTTTCTTTCTTTCTTTCTTTCTTTCTTTCTTTCTTTCTTTCCTTCTTTCCTTCCTTCCTTCCTTCCTTCTTGTCTTTCTTCTCCTTTTCTTCATATGCTGTTAATAGATGGATAGCAGTAGTCTTTCAATGCACAGCTCATCTGTGGCTAAAATAGACCAAAGTGATGCATCCACATGTCATAACTGTGTTATAAATATTGTGATAGTTGTGAGCCAATTTTAATACCTTTGAGAATTTATTTTTAGCTTTAATTACAATTTGCTGCTAAAACAATCTACATGCGACTATTTAAGTCACTTTTTATGATGGCTAGAAGGGAGGAAAGCACTTTAAATAAATAACCTAGATTTGCTTCACAAATGCACAGACTCAGCAAGCAGTAACTTTACAGTTGATGCAACTTGCTGCTTTCAGTGTCCAGTAAAATTATTCATCAGGCAAAGAAAAATTATCAAGAAACTTAGCTTTCTCTAGACAAAGTGAAGTCCAATCTTGTTTTCTGACGATATACCCTCTTTCCCAAGGCTCCTTTTTTCAATAAAAATCTCAGTCTGGTTCAGAGACCACAACCACAGAAATTTGCATTTATACAGTGCCCTTCATATACAATAGCAGTCAGAGAGCTTCACAATGATGGACTCAGATCCAGAGCGAGAGTGAGGGAAGAAGGGGGAGCTGAAAATTGTTACGGTCCAAGAGGTGGGTTTTAAGGCAAGTACAAGATCAGTTCAGATAAATAATAATAATAGCAATAGATAAATAGCAATAACTTGCATTTATATAACTCCATTCACATAGGATGATGTTTCGGAGCATTTCTCAGACGTTAGGAAGTTTTTTTTACCCAGTGGAAAGTTAATGACTGAAACAGGTGACCAGGAAGAGGTGTGAGATCTTGAAAGGGGCTTTTTGGTCCATTTGATGTTATTCCTCAAGAATATCTACCCCACTATAACCCGCATCATAGCATCAACTTGTTCTTTAAATGTGCGCTGTATAATCCCACATTTTCTGAACTCAACTAATTTTGCAATATAGCCAAGCATCCTGTTTGCCTTGCTTATTGTTGCCTCAGACTTTGAGTGAGGCAGACTGTGCTCAGCTCTGTATTTATTTGTATTGAACTTAGTTTTTCAGTTATCAGCCCATGTACAAACCCTCTCAAGCTCTCTTTGCTGTCTCTTCTGATTCCACATTTCCCTGCTGTTTGGTGTCATCTGCAAACCTTACATTGGGTACCTCAAAGCCACATGGTTAATGCACACAAGGGAAGCAGACTCTCTCTACTTCCTTCCCTCCAGCCAATTTCAAACTCATGTCTGTCTTATCTTTGATTCTTAATGACATCAGTTGGCAAAGGAGTCTTTCATGTGACACTTTGTCAAATGCCTTTTGTAAGTCTAGGTACACTATACCATATGACTTCCCACTGTCAATGATATTCCTTGAGGAGGAAGTAAATTGGGGTCTTCTTGAAACTAAGCTGGTTCCAAGATGATGTGTATGGCAGTCGAATGTGGAATCGTCAATCCTCTGTGACAGTCTCAGTAGTCTGGGTCCTGAGCCAGGCAGGTCCCCAGTACTCTCATGCATATTCACTCTTGGGTCCCTAAATCTTGGCTCTTGCCAACCTATGCCAAATGCCCTCCAGTATTCATGGCCTATGCCACCCATTCTGTCTTCCACCACCTCTGCAATATCACCCGCCTCCGCCACTGCCTCTTCCTTCAGGCCACTGAGGTCCTGATCTACGCATTCATCACATCCCAGCTCGATTATGCTGACTTCCTGCTTGTCGGTCTTCCCTCTACAAGCTGCACAAGACCCATGTCAAGACACTCCTCTTTGACCATGCCTTCAGTCACCCCCTACCCCTATCATCCATGCCTCTGGATCCTAACCATCAGCTCTAGTGCAGATGCTCTACTATCCAGCACCTTGGGACATCCTCCCAATGTGAAAGGTGCTATAAAAATGTAAGTTGTTCAAAACAAGCTTTCAGTGCCCAAAGGAGAGAGATCCCAGTGTGATTCACACCTGCCACGTTTATACTGCGCAGGGCAAATTGTACCACTCCTGATAGCACCTCCACCTGGTGATGTCAAGAGCCAGGTATTACCGTGATTATCCTCTCTGAGGCTCCAATTTTACTGCATGCCTGACACAGAATTGCTGCCAAAATCATAGTGTTTTGCAAACACGCAGTACAAACACAGCATACATATAGCATTTTAACCAAACTCACATAATTGTTCATCTTATCTTAGCAAAGTTTATGAAATGGTGGTGATTAAACTTGGATCACATTGTTGGGATAGATGACAATAACACTATGGCAAAATGAATATGTGTTGGTATATATTTTTTTAAACAAAATCTGTGAACATCACTTTTTAGAATGACAGGACAACCCTGTTTTTTTATTAATAATATCCTTACATTTTGCATAGCACGTTTCATGTTGGGGGACGTCCCAAAGAGCTTCACAGGATATAGTGTAACGCAGTATGTTTTAACACAGTGGTTAGAGTCCATATCCTCAGATTCTACGTTGCAACAAAGTGCATTTGTAAATGGCCGCCAATTAACATTGTCAGGTCCCCGCTGGTGTAATTCCTGCACATTACAAGTGTGCACATAAAGCTTTGCTGACATTTTCTTCTTCACAATATAATATTAGTGGATCTTCCTGTGCATGACCTATAGGAAGCTGACTAAAAAATTATATTGCCCTTCCAGTATAGCACAAGTTCCTATAAGTGAACCCATGCTAAACCGGATCACATTCCAATGGGGCTGCCCTATATCTGAGAGCCAGCATTCCACATTATTTTTTTGAAGAGGAACAATTTTGAGCTTGTTCCTGCAATGATGGCCTGATTTGAGCCTCACCACTTTTGCGGTAAGCTTGAGCAATGATTAGACAAGCTAGGGATCTTCAGTCTTGAAAGAAGATGACTCAGAGGGACCTCATAGTGAACCCCATTTTAAATGGGATTGAACAGAGTAAACCCAGATCAATAATTTAATATGTATTAAGATAGTAGAACAAGAAGGCATGGGTTTAGAGTTGGAAAGATATCATTGTTTCATCCAGATCAATGTTGTGATCCTGTGATCAAAATTACAACCAAAAAACAATTGTGCTTAGTTGAACAATTATGCTGCAGAATTCTATGATTCCATGAAAATCGGTAGTATAATAAAATCAATGCCAGCTGTTATTTGGATATTGTTTATACAGTTAGATGATTCGTATTATTGGAGATGGAATCACAGTGGGTCGTTCCAAGACCATAAACAGTTGAGAGTTTGCACCAGAGCTGAGGATGGAGGCTGAAGGGGATGGGGCTGAGGGGATGGGGAAGATGGCAGAAGACACTATCAAAGATCAAGAGAGAGACAGATCTTAAAGAAGGAAAGGGAAAGGGTAAATCGAAGGGTCTCTGGGACGGAGCTACAGAAAGTGGAGCAGATAAGCTGAAGGCCCAACCGCCGATGGTGAGTAGTGACATGAAGCAGTCCGGTGCCTGTGGAGCAAAAGGAGCGGGTGGTATTGTAAGCTTTGAGAGTGCGGCACAGGTATGGTGGGATAAATCTACGGAGGGACTTAAAGGGATCTTGAACTCGATCTGCTGGCGAATGGGGAGGCAGTGGAGCACTTCACTATAGTGAAAATGTAGTTGTCCTGTGGATCCCATTCATTGTGCCTGTGTGCAACAGTATTCCATAATACTGTTTTATGGTTTAAAGTATCACTGATAATTGTCCCAGACTATTTCCATTCTGTCATGCGAAGCACATTCAG